GGGGGGGGGGGGGGGTCATTGTGCTAAACTGATTGAGGCAGACCACGCCCTAGCTCTCTGGTTGGTCGCAGCGGGTCACGTGGCCAGTGATGTCACCTGCGTCAAGAAAACACGTGGTCCCTATGAATAAAATAACACCTTAAAAGTTAATTAGTAGTGTCCTACTAATATGTGTGTGTGTGTGTGTATTGGGGCTGATAGTTAAACATTTTGTAGAGTAGTTTTAGGTTATTATAAATAACTAATTAGCACGAAATTAATATACATTAGAGTTTAAGTAGTAAGTTATTAGAAGGAAAAATGCATCATTTATTGTGATTATTTATCTGTTGGGGTCATAACAGCACCTTTAGAGTCTTCTTTAATGTTTAATGTGCTAGAGGTCATAATACAGTGAGGCGTAAACCCGCAGAGTTCACAGACTGTATGCGTTTGCGACACTGGCTGAAAGTGTTTGTTTTTGTGGCTCGTGGAGGGGATACACGTTGTTTTATCCATTGCACGTGCTGTCAGCGTAAAGTCCGCTATCGCCGTGGCACAAACCGACGATTTGAGTTTGGCACAATCTCTGGGCTCAGCTGTGAGGTGAAACGTTATCGGCCGGAGGGCAGCAGAGGAAAACAAAACGGCGTGAACATGGGGGGGAGATAACGCGCCATTGAGCTTGTGAGTGAGCAGACAGTGTTTCTTCACCTGTGTCTGCTGGTTTCTGTGTTTATGAGGGGATTTTATGTCTGCTTTTATTTATTGCAAATGAAAGTCTGCAGTTTCCTTTCATGTTAAACGACGACGTCATTCAGTTTCAGTGACCAAATAAGCCATTGAGTTTTTAAAATGGCTGAGTCATTAATGTCATTAGTTACACCTGTTTCAATGCTAAATATGTCGTAAGTAAAGCTAATGTCCACAGTACATGAGTGCAGGTTTTTAAGGTTGTCTATTTATTATTATTTCTTTTAGGATTTTCTCTCCATCTGGCTGCTTTTCATCATATTTCTACACCAGTATAACCCACAAGATGGCACCATTTAGCTAAGTTATGTTGTTGGCACTGCTTTATCTTTCTGTCACCAGTACAAACACAGCAGTTTCCCCAAGCTCAGTTAAGTTACACTCCACAAACAACCAAATCACAGTAACCTACTTTGTATGAATGGACGTCCAATACCTGAGCCAAATGTAAAAAAAAAAAAAAAAAGATAACACTAACAACATCTGTAAATATGTTTTCTGATGCTGTTAAATGTTTTATTTACTAAACCTTTTAAACACTGTTAGGCCTGTTTTTCCATTTATCTGCAGACACTCGCACACAATGCAATTTGTTTCTTATTGTTTCACCTGTAAGTCACAAGCTGTGTGTTTGCTGGCTTCTCTGGTGAATCATGGGATCCTGCCGCCGTGATTCATACCATGCCAGTCTTACATGACACGTCTATAAAAAGCAATGGGACTCTTCTTTGAGCTGTAGTGGGAGGGCCCCATCCAACCAGCTAAACAACAGTTTTTCACTTCTCCTTCTCTAAGGAAGTAAGAAGGCACATGACCCGGGCCAGCTGATGTGAGTTGCTCTGCTTGTTCAAAGTTCAGTCTACATGTTGCAGATTAGTAAGAGGCGGGGAGTTTTTTTTACACAAGGGTCTGCATAGTAGGCGCTAGTATGTCTTAGCAGGTTTCTGCTTGTCTTTCTTTCTGGAATGGAAACAGAGACAGACCACTCACTCAGTTGGAATAACACAACACAGATGACAGTGTCTTCTTGGAGCTAGGAAATCCCCAGATGGCTCTCACACAAGTGCAGGTAAGAATAAGAGGATTTAACTGTGTTGCATGAATGATTTTCCTCCTGAAAAGGCACATTGAAGGCGACAGAAGTGTCGCTGTACTGTGATCGTGTGTGCATACATACCTAATTATATGTCACTGAAGAACCCAATAGAGGTATTTTTTCCATTGCATAAGTTAGAAGAGACTTATATTGGACACATGACATTCTCACATGAGGAAACATCAAAGTATTTATGAATTTTTGAGGAATGTGAACAGCCTTTTGCTTTTACTTACCGTCATAACTGATTCTACCGGCTTATCAGTGTAGCAGTCTGTGTTCTTCATTGTTCATCATGAGTGTCTGTAAACAGAACGTGCAAATGATATCATCTTAATGAGGAAACAATGATGTAGTCAAGCCTCAAGCATACAGTAATATGTAAACTTCTCTTTGACCCTTCTTCTGGGGTGAGATGTACAACACTTATATTAGCAGCTCTGTCGTGTGAAGGACTTCGAACTGTAGAAGTATTATTTCAGTAACTAGACATTTAGCAACATTTAGACAGACAGGACATCCTAGAGTCAGTGTCACATCAGTTGGATTTTGTAAGAGCAAAAGATCCCAAATTGTTCATCAAGGAAAGAATACAATGTATAAAACGTCTGCAGTGACATTTGAAGCTTGAATTAAATGCTTCTAATTACTGAGAATTGGGCATCAATTATGCCATGCAGATCCGTCACAGAGGTTGATAACCAGTTAATGAGGATGGCACATGACTGCTGTGGTCTGTCTTTCTGTCTGGTGATGTGCTCAGGGGGGTAGGGAACGAAACAAATTTATCTGAGGAAGTGAGACAGACAAAGGAAAGATGTTTTGGATATTTTGTAAACTGAACAAAAAATGCCAATCTAAGGATTTCCCCTTTTTTCTCTCTCCAGGACCAGACTGCTAAAGGGGAAAGGATTAATAAGGAAACCGGAGAGCTGAGTGCTTCAGGGGAGTTATCTGTCTCTGTGGAGTTAAAGGTGGACAAAGTGGAGGGGTCTTGCAAGGACTCTCAACTCCTACAAGAGCTCAGAGCACAACTACAGGAGCTGGGAATCCACAGATGCTCGAGCCCGGACCACAGAACTGACCATGTCCCTTTAGAACAGAGAGAGGAGCATCTAGTCAAAGTCTTGCCTCTCTACATACAGGTATGGACCCTTTATTTTTCTGTTGTCAAACAAATAAATAGAGATATCAACTGGAGGATCAACAAGTGGAGCCACAACTTAATACCCAACCTTAAAGAAGGTTCAATTGACGCCTGAGGAAGCTGCGGTTTCCAAAACTGTTCCAGACCCCTTGAATGAACAATTACCACAACATGAGGCGGCAGTCAGATGTTTGACCCTCAGCTGATCACATCACTGTCCCTTGAATAAGTGTGTATGCAGCCTCTGTCAGGAAATCTATGGGGCATGAAATGAAATACAAAAGCGCTTCAGACCCGTGGCCTCAGGGCCTCACTTTGATTAATTGGCAAAAGAGGAATTTCTCATTCATGCCTGAATTGCGTCACACTGATGAAGAAACCTCCCCTCTTTATTTTTTATTTTTTTCACCCCGTGCACACTCTCCATGTAAATTCCATCACTGATCTGTGTGTGTGTAACACCATTGATCGGGCTTACAGCTGCAGACGTAATCACTCTCAGGTCTGCTGTGTGTGGTTCTATGTGTGTATGTGTGTGTGAGGGTGTGTGTGTAAGCCTCATGACCAGAGATTTGACCAGAACATAGGGCCTCACTTAAGAATAGCAAACTCAGGTGAAATGTGATATCCTCTTATGGAGCTGAAAAGAGCATATGTAGTCTACACTGGCTTCTATTATTTATAGTGTAGTGCATTAGCCAAAGCAGTCAAGCATCCGGCTATAATATGATGATGAAATATGTTTGACTGCAACTCATAACGCACACCAAATGCAGTTGATCAGAAACCTTCAGCATGTACATACAGTATATACAGTCATTTCATAAGATAAGATAGACTTTATTGATCCCACACTGGGGAAATGTACTTGTTACAGCAGCTCCAGATAGAACATAGCAGATACTAAAAAAAATACACATTAAATAACAAAATAAAAATAGAAAAATACAAGATATCAAGAAGAAGAATTAGGGTTGTATGTACACTATTTGTATTCTTTTTATACAGGTCTAAAGACTAATGTGTATCTAAGAAATTACATTTATTTCATTCCCATAATTTCACGCTAAACCAGTTTATAATTCACATTAGAGATACTTTAGATACCATTTGCAGTAGACGGCTCCAGACATCATCTCATGTTTAATTTTTGTCAGTGTATTGATAATTGTCCTGGTCTCTCTGGATCTTTGTATGATGGACTTTCTCTCCTCTCTGATCCCAGGTCTGTGAGGATGGTGGCAGACTTGAAGGTCTGAACATAAAGGGGCTTGCAGCTCTCACTGCTGACACTGTCATCCATAACATCCACAACAGACTGGCAGAAAGGACTGCAGGTACTAGAAAATGCTCATTTGAGGAAATACAGTATGGTTTTATTTTCCAGGTAGAGGGGCTTTCTACCTCTTCTGTCTTACTTCTGCTTTTTCAGTGTGCTCTGGTTCTTTTCCAGTGTTTTAACTTTCTTCAGTATCACTCATGTCATGTCACTAAAAGTGAGATGCCAAAGCACATGCAATCTCTCATTATAATCTGTAGTTTCTTTCTTGAGGTTGTTCGGTCAGTTTTCTCTCTGTGTCTCCTCTGTCTTACTTCCTTCTTTCTGTTTGTTTGCTAGTTGTTTATGTTGAATTGTATTTTTCTGGAGGAAGGAGAAGCTTTTTTGTTTTTAGAGATACAACAGATACTTGTGGTTTTGGATGCAGCTCTGGCATGGGTTCAAGTTTGCTAAGGCACTAACAAAGAGCATGTAGTAGCTATTTAGTTCTTAACTATTTTACCCGCAGAAAGTGGGACTTTTCATGGCTTCTCTTTTTGGGAGCACACCCATATTAAAATAAATTTTAAGGAACTGTAGTTTAGCACACACACTTGACAAACTAGAAATAGAAAATCGATGCAAATTTCCTCTCTAAAA